AGATGTCGCACAACCTGAATCCTAACCGATACACACATACTATCAGGTTGTGCGCCATCTTGGTGCGCATACTCTTGAAGGTCCAAAAGCTTTAAACTAAAATTTCTGCAACTCAGAATCGATTCCTCAGAAGCAGACAGTTGCAAAAGCATTTTTTTGGTGATTTTAGTTGGGATGTTTTCAAATACTCGCTCTGAACAAGGCACAAAACAAGCAGGCACTGATACGTAAATACCTTAATTGAACGATTGGAATCTTTCTCACTAAACATTGACTATCAAAACATTTGATTTCTAGGTCAGGAGGAGGGCACACATTTGAACCAAAGATGTTTTACATGTGCAAACAAGTAAAATATCCTCAGGAAACACATAATCAGTGGCACCTTGTTCAGAGTTGCCTTCACATAACATTTATTAAAAAAAGTTTTAATTTTTCAAAAAAGAAATCAAAGATAATATATCTATGATTGAGAGCAGAGTTAAAATATGATGACACTAACATATTATTGATACACAAAAAATCCACTGATATGTAAGAGGTTAATTATGAAAAAACCAAAAAACCAACATTTTTTCAGGCAGAGCATTGCTTACCAATTTATATACATCGTTGGTGAGATCGTCGATTTGGGATTTGAAGATTAATGTGAAGAAAAGTAGCCAAACTTAGTTGGCATCACAGGTTAAAAATCCTGGATTCAAGCACATTACTCAGTGTATAATGAAATAGGTAGGAGAGTAAGATAAATTAGGTTGGCAATGCAACTAGACATATTTCAGTATTACAATAAATATTAGTGCCTTGCGTATCATTGGCTGGTGCTCATACATAGCCTTGTTTGAAATAGAAGACATGACAAACGTTTCATAGAAAAAATTCACATGGTAAGTTTGTCATTATAGGCGTTTAAAATCTTATAGCCGGACAAAACTCTCAGACTTAGGATAAATTATGATGATTATTGCCAAAATAAAATACCTAATTTACTATTTCATATAAATTCTCAAATAATATTTTTTTCCAATATTAAATATATTTTAAATTGGGCCATGTCCAACAAGAGAGTGTGAAAATCACTGTACAATTACATATGTGGAAATTTAATTCAGTAATGCAGAATAACTGATATAAACACAGCTTGGATTGATTTTTGCAATTTGCAATGTCAGATTTTAAAGAAAGTCATACGATTTCTGCAATAATGAAATGCTTTAAAAGACAAATTTTGAAATAAAAACCACAAATCAAGAATTTGCTCTATGTAATATAAACAATTGTGAATATTCATTTATTTTGGACATCAGCACTGGTAGGGGTAAATTCTGCAAGGGGCCATTAAACCAATAAAAAAAAAAGCTTTCTAGAAACATCGGAAACAATTTCTAGAACATCTAAGCACTGAGGTGTTGTGATGGCCTTGTGGTTATAGCATTGGACTTAGCTTTGTTGGATCATAATTTGAAAGTCTTAAGTTCCATGCCCACTTCCTTATCCAAGATGTAATAGCTTGAGTAGGCAATTCCGAAACGAAAAAATCACATTCCATCCAAAATGATAGCCCATTATGCATTAGCCCTGTTTTGAAGTGAACAATATAATAAACGAGAATATCGGTTGGAAACCGAAGACTTATCGATCGATAGTTAGGGGATCCCCCAAAACAGAAACTGCAGTTTCGATTCATCCGCTCTTGTAACTTGCGCACTGCGCATCGCACACACACACTCGGCGGGTTTCAAAATTCTCTCGCTTTACAAAAATCTAGATCACTATATCAATAATTGATTGATAACTCGCTAATTATACGACATAATTCGCCCAAAATCAATAGGATTCTGGTCCGAGATAAGATGAATGCACATGCAAAATCTGGAGCAGATTCAACCCCGCTTTCGTGAGATATCGCGTGCATCTAACAGACACACACACACACAGACAGACAGACATACATACAAATACCTTACCTTATCAATATACTTACCGATCTTAAGATCGATAAGTAAAAAAAAGTGTAATTAGAATTCAGTTGCTATTTGGGGGCAGAATAATTGTATTTGGAAGATTTAATGTTAAACATAGAATCAACGTAAATTAATACAACAAGAATCCTAGTTCCAGTAAATAATTTATTACTCAACCAATTGAATTCATTACATGACTCACATTCAGACTTCCAGCAGGGAATGAGTAGGTGATGACATAAGTGCCACATGGTATATATCCTGGCAGTGATTCATGGGAACTTTCCAAAGACATTTCTCCACCAGGTGGTTGTTGGTTGATGATTCTTAGACCAGATGAAGTAGCCTGACTTGAAGACTGAGATTCTGGAAATTGAAAAATTATTTTAGTGAAAAGGGTTAGGCAGGATTCAAGTTATACATATTGTGATATTACATAATACATTAACGAACAACTTTTTTGTAATTTTTAAATCCACGAAATCCCTAAGCCCCCATGCCCAATACTTAGCTCAAGTTGGATACTCTATTTTTACTAATGCTTTTGGATTCGAGCAGTATTGAATTTTTCTATATGACACTCAAATACATTTTCGCTCTTACCTCTGTTATAGACACTCCCTGGGAAAGCCGGGAGTCGAGTGAAAATTCAGCAAATAAATCTTGGTCTCTTGGCACCAAAAAGTGGGAGCCACTGATATGCAAGGATCTACTATTATTTGGGAGAAAAGGCATTGCCTACCCCAATCTGTTACACGCTGGTGAGGTGTCGGGTGTAGGATTCTTTTTCAACCTCGTTACTTTCAAATCATAAATACCGGAACTCGAGCCGAGTGAAAGTCACCCATTTATTTTTTTTTTTTTATGTTTTCGATGAATTCTCACAAAGTTCAGAATTATAAAACAATAAGCCAGATATAAACAATAAAACAATCAATAGTGATTTAATGCTCAGTGCTCACTTTAGTGATCTACGTCAGTGGTTCCCAAACTGTGAGACGCGACCCCATTTTCCGGGGTCGCCAGATTTCTTCCAAACATGCGTACACAAGTGACTAGGATTTGAAAGTTGGAAAATCAAATTTGTACTGGTCGGCAGATACCGTAAAAGTGCCTAACTTCGGATTTTCAGCAATAACTCGCCCAAATTGCTCTGTGAAACTTTCATGCTGTACCTTTCCAGCTGGTCGCCAGGTACCGGTATTAGTAAATGTAATCGAGTGACAATGGTACAGCACCAATATTATTTTCCTTTTTTTATTGCTTTTTTTATCATGTTACATTCCAATGAGTAGTTGACCTGATGGTACGCGAAACGGATTTTTGCCAGGCTGCGAGAAATTATTTTGGTTTGTGATTTAGTACCAGTGTAGCCGCTTGGTTACCGAAAATACAAAGCAAATTGTTTTATCCGGCGATTGGACCTTAATCAGGTGTTTGACAAGTATGGTATTGATTGACAGGCGGGGTCTTGACCGAGTAATTATTAACCTTAGGTTTCGATCCGTTGCGAAAATTTGTTAGTTCGCGCACATGTCTAAAATCTACAAGTAGACTACGTGTTTTGTCCACACGGCCTCCACATAACAGTGAACATTTTCGTATTGCAATATTACGTATTTAAACGTTTCATACAGTATTTTGAATTGCTCAGAGCAGTCGAACACAAAACCACAAGTCCTAGCATAATAAAGGCACTTAAAATATGTGATTCCGTACATCAGGGGTCGGCAACCTACGGTCCTACGAATCTGGCACGCGGAGCACTATAATCCAGCCCGCCACGCTTCACTAAATTATAGTAACAAACCATCCGTTTTGACGAATATACATTTTTTAGACTAAATTTTATTATAACCTAACAATTATATAATTCACAATTACTTGTTTAATGAGCAAATGGCAACAATAATAAAAAAACGATTTTCACCCTGTTTTTTTCACAAGCACCAATACTTAAGTAAGGACGAACGTCTGAGTTTGGTTTTATATTGCTGGGAGACATATGCTTTCATATCGGCGACATATGTTAAAGACGACTATCAAGGCTTGAATTCTAGTTTTTATTCCGATTTTTATCTTTTGCGCCAGCTCTGATCTTTCTTGTCATCTTTTGCAAATTAATAACTGTCCCAATTTTAAGTATACAATGTTATTATTTCTGACACCGGAATGCGGATATTTATGAAGACGATGGTTGACCTTCTTATGATTTTACTATTCTATTGTGCCTGTTTATTTTCGTATTAAATAATAAATAAAAACCCTGCAAAGTCTTTGCGTGAATCCTGAATGTTATTTTGAATTCAAATGATGATTTAATAACTCGGCAATAATGGCAATTCTACTGATCAAATAATGATTCCTTGGAAAAATTTCGCACAATAATTTGTTACCTTGTTTGACATTTTAATAAACTGAGAATTAAAACAATACCCAAATACGACTCCTCAAGTTTGTCGTTTCTGTTTCTCAGCAAGAGCCGTGAGGTAACTTTCGCCAAATTCAAGGGATCGGTTTAGTGACGCGCAAGTTCCGTGTCCAAGCAAATCAGCCTAGGTAGTAGGTACTCGATATATGAGTAGTGAAATGGCATTCTAATACGCAAGAGAATGACACCGAAAGGTTATTGTTACGTAACGATACACGGCGCGGTGTTTTTTTGCTAGCGATCCAAGTTCGCACCCCCAAAATTATGGAAAGTATCCGCCCCTGGATCTGAGAGATTGTTATACCGTGATTTTCATACGATTCCATGTATTATCAAATCTTCTGAGGTTTCCCCGTTTTCCGGCGCATTGCCGGACACAATCATATATTTTTTGAACGAATGTTCACCGTCAACGTCTACTTACAGTCGATATACAGGTACAGGTACGTTTCCAGTTGTGGGGTCGCAAGTATCTGTAGGCTTTGATTTTATGAAAATTGGGGTCGCGAAAATAAAAGTTTGGAAACCACTGATCTACGTTATGAAACACAAATGCAAGAGATTGTACCTGATGTGTCACTTCTGTATCCACCCACTGCTCCCATCTGTGGTTCTTGGACATTCCTAGACTTGTGGCTACTTGATGAAGTATTGCCAAAGAAAGTTTCTGTATATTCACCTCTAGTACTTGTAGCTCCAACTGTTAATTGCTGGGCTTGGTACATTTCTGTTTCGACTCTAGTGTTTGAAGGTGCTGCTTGTTGAGGGGAAAGATCCATTGAAGACGACTTCTTCCTTGCTCGAGAAAATAATTCATCCATAAGAATATCGTAACATTTACGAGAATCTCTGACCAAAGTCTCAGAGCGGATCGTTTGTTCCAAGAATTGAAGAGGAAATTTTTGGAGATCTAGGAGGCCGAACAAATCTTGAAAATTTTTTTTCCTCTTTTGAATATCGTGCTTTATCCATCTAAGAGCTCCGTGCCATTTAACAGTCTCGGAAGAATATTTTGTGTTTGGGGATTTGTAAATCACAATGATGTCATCCTTGCTGATATCACAGAACTCTTTTTTCTCAATGATTCGTTCAAAATGTGCTTCCAGGAATCGATTCATCACATTTTTCACAGCATCTAGGTTGGTAGCTTGATTAGTTTCAGCCAGATTTTTCAGGATGAAGCAGTTGTCAATCTCAAGATTTGTCTCGAGATTCTTGACATCAGAGAATAATGCAGTGATGACTGAATTCCTTGCAATGTCATTACTTTTCACCAGTGGTTCTTCCAACACAGTCTCCAGAAGAAATTTGAAAGGATAAGTCTGGATATTGATGACTGTAACAAGATCGGCAAAACATCTCTCTGCATCTTCATCTTTTGCTCTTGCCCATGTTATCATTGCTTGCCATGATGTTTGGTAATTCATACTTGGAGTTTTTATGTAACGCAGGAGATCTGGCTTGATAATGAACGAAAACATCTCGGAGGAAATTACTGATTGGAAATTAGTGATCAGAACATTTTCTGCTTGTTCTTTTATATCAAGGCGATCGTATGCTTGAGCCAAATTGATGACGGAAAGACAATTGGTCTGAGAGAGATTGGTTTTCAAGTAATGGAAGCAAAAGTTAGTCAAGCCAACCATTTGTAACAGGTTGGATGCTTGCAGGATTTGTTGAACGTATTCCATTTTCAAATTTCCTACTCCTTTATACATGAATTCTATACATTGGGAAATCCCATTCTGATCGACATCCTTCATATTGATGAAACCATCACGAGATTCCTTCATTTTGCTTGAAAACATCGCTTTAAAGTATCCTGACGACGCTGCCAAGACACAGCGATGAGCACGGAACGATTTGTCACCGACTTTGACATCGAAATCGCAGAGAATGTTTTGTTCTCTCAAGCTATCGAGTGATGTCATAAGCAAACCGGCTTGGGTTGAATTTGTTTGTTCAATGTAATCTTCATTCATGATCAGTCAGCTCAACCTTACTCAGATCAGTAATTAAGTATAACAATTCTAACGCCTGCATAAAAATAATACCATTTTGTTAATCTCTGTGGTTCATCTTCCAAGCCAAAACAACATTTTTTTTTTTAACATAATAGATGAATTTGCTCTCGTCAACATATACTTTAAAAGTGCAGGTCATAGTATAAGATAATGATGGATTGGAATAGTCTTCCCATGTTATATTATGTACCATAAAAAGTAGAAATAGTAACTACCTCAAAGACTAATAAACAATACAATTATCTGCTTATTGCGACTGGAGAAAATGGAATGGCATTTCTTCAAAATCTTTACAGCTTTATAGATAGAAAACACAGATATAGACTATTTTGAAATAAGTAAGGATTTGTATAAACTACTTTATCCTAAAAACAGAATAATGGATTTAACCGAGGAACAAAATTTGGCCCTACTATAATTTGTCACATTATAATTATAAATTTCTGTAAGTTTATTTAACTCCATAATCTGATAATCAGCATAACAGGCAATAAAATGATTGACAAAATGAAAATAAAAAAACTGATTATAAAAACAGGACATTGCCCAAAATGCCCATATATAACTCAAATCTGATACTATAAATAGATACGGAAACTAGACTACAGTTTATTCAGTTATTACAGTTCTTCTCTTACAGTCTTATCACTGTAGCCTACCTATCACAGTCTGACAGCGCTGCAGTAGGTACGGTGGCGGTACCGCATACGGGTGTCACATGAGAAATGATTCAATTGCATAAACCACTGGTGGGTCGCAAAAGAAATCTTAGTGGGTTGTGAAAAGATATAGAAAGCTTTGATTAATTTTACTGGTTATTAAGTTCGGTGGCGACTCGAATACGTAAATCTTCAAAAAACAAAAGAATTTAAATTGAATTTAAATTCTAATCTGTGAAAGTTTCCTTTTTACGATCTTCCTAAAGGAACAAAAATTTGCTACACAAAAAATGACCATCTGGCATTTTTACGCATAGCAGTTTTGTACACTGTACAGCACATCTTACCGTGTTTCCCTGAAATTTAGACAGGATTTGGATTTATTTTCTTTTGTAGAATGACACTATGGTTTTTTTTTGGAAGAGGTCTTTTGTGTTGATTTATCAAAAATAAAACTACATTGTAGAAAATCACGAGATTTTTTAATAAACATTATATGAAAACCGACATCTATTGTTTTTATTCGTATTTCCTATACAAAAATCAAGTGACAAATATCATAATTGTGATTGTGACATCACACAATCTTGAATAGTGGTGTGATCTTCATCTTACCTCAGGTCATTGAACCTTTCCTTTCCCACACATTTTAAAATTATTTCAAGGGTAGGGTTTAATTAAAATCATTTTTAAGGCCAGGTATTATTTTCGAGGAAACGCGGTAGTTTTGCAATGATTAGCCATTGGCCATTGCTGTGTTACCGGTATGTCATAAAAAGTTGAACGGGTCGCCATAACCTGTGGTAATAAATAGTGGGTCCCAACTCCCAACCACTGTATTAGAGTTTTTTTCCCTGAACCGCCATCGCCCAACATACTAATTGATTCACGATATAACTGCATTCACCACTATGTTTTAAATGCAGCATAGTAAAGTTATGCAAAAATCTTAACATTCGCAACAGTCTGATTCTGACCTTTGACCTCCACTCTCCGTGTTGGTTGCCAAGCCGAGTAGATTTGAATTAAAAAAAAAAAAACGCCGAGTGCAACTGCAATGCAATATGACCCAACGTAATAATTCGTCATTGATAAAACGTCATTGCCCGTTTGTTCTGCATCAAACCTGGCAATTTTGCTCATACTAAAACCTTGCATATTTATGACGTCACAGGTTAAAGAATTGTTATAAACGTTGATCTTTATGATGTAATAATTTCATCATAAAGCATTTGCTCATCTGTGCGAGCATTCTTAGCGTTAATTCAGGCATCAAGTCCGTTTCTAGGCAAAGAACCAGCATTTTCTGTTTAAGATACAGTTCAGTATAGAAAATTGGATATAGATGTAGGGTGGTGCACTCTCTGTGGATAATTCAAATGGAAAGGGTCCCGGTATAACGGACTATGCATTGGACTATTTCCACAGGCCCACTGAAAGCCAGGAACGCTAGACACATAAACACAAGTCAGTGTAAGATTGAATCTTTCACTATTCATTATGCGGGGTTGTCGTATACTGAACCGGATAGGATTTACAACCGGTTGTGCCACGGGGTGAAGAAAGATAACACGAACCCCGAATCACGTGGCGATAAAAACGCGTAATGTCCAACAAACCATTTACAAAATCATTTTCGTAACGTCTCAAAATACAAATACACGTGGGGTATTTCGCGTTCAGCCTTAGAGATAATTCCATAAGCAATGCTTAAAGACATATTGAAATTTTTTTGTAGGATTAAAGTATCCATTTTGAACATTATTTTGTGTAGGTCCGTATGCAGGACCGTCGAAGGTCATCGAAGCCCCTTACCATTTTATTATATCGTACCTGTGATCGATTACAATACTGATCGGTGAGCACAATATTAGAGCCGGACTCGCCTGCCGAACACCGCCAAATCCGCCTGCCAATTTCGAAGTCCAAGTAAGATAAAAGTCTATTTGTGATATTTCCAAGTGAAAATCCAACACTCCCAAAAAACTTAAGAGTTGATTCCAATTAAAAAATTTACCAGCGTATGTGTCAGCAAATGTTTACTCGGGATGAGCAAAATGTGGTTTAGACGCGTGTTCAATAGAATGGCTCTTCTTTGAGGATCATTTTTTTTAATTTTTTTTTTAAGTTTATACAAATCAGTTTATACATATTTTATGTATATATTTATAGTTTATAAAATTCAGCCAATTTAAGCTATTGTACAGCCACAGCGGTTTCTCGAGCCTGTGGACGAATGTGAGAGATAAACACTCTTAACGCAGGCGAGAGAGGGGTGCGATAGTCGAGCGCGAACAAATGTTTAACAGCTATTATAATAACCGTTTTCTCGCAATAATGTACACGAGAGCGTTCGGAGTACCTCACATTATTGTGAAAAATGCTCCGCCGCACGGGTAATACTGTATCTTCAAAAGTGAATTTTTATCTTTTGCGCCGGCTTCGATCTTTCTCCCCATCGTTTGTAAATTACTTGTCCCAATTTTAAACTAACAATATTACCATTTCTTACGCAGGAAAAGACGATAGTTAACCTTCTTATGATTTTACTTTTCTATTACGCCTGTTTTATTTTCGTATTAATTGAATAGTGAATAAAAACTCGAAAAGGTCATTATGTGAATACTGAATGTTATTTTGAGTTTAAATAATGATTCAAATTGGAGAATTTCCCACGGCACCCCTGACAATATTTTACGGCACACCGGTTGAAAAACACTGCTCTAGCATACTATGGTCTTTTCAAGCAAGGTTGATTTACAGTCCTTTCGGTGCAGTTATTCCGGGGTTGTTAGCTTCGCAAGTGAGTATGATTTCGTTTAATGCAAGGTATAACCTAAGCGATTCTCTGCGGACTAGTTGAAGGCTGTACATAAATGTTCCCTGCCTCAGAGGTGGCTAGATAGGCAGAAAGACGAGAAACCATTCTAGACACAACATTAGCAGGAAAGCAGATGGGTTTTTAAAAATCGTTTGTTTTGCTTGTTGTCCCATCGTGCAAACCGTTAGTCGAACCAATGACATTAAACAACATGATAGGCAACTCTGACGTCACTCCATAAGACTACATGCGAAAGATTGTATTTCATGATACGCTCCAATGCACATATTTATCGTCGCCTTTCGCCACCGTTTTCCGTTCGCTTCTGCTACTCGGCGTCTTCTTTACGTGTAGTACCTGCCTTTTTGCATCTGTAACGAAAGAAAATAATCTCTATATCTAAGAAGTTTTGCTTACTTGGCAGACAAGCTGTAAAAAGCAATTTTGGACATCATAGACGTTTTTTTTTTTATCAAAGAAGATTACAAACGCGATAGCGGAAGGATTTGTGTGGAACATTTTGCAGATAATGACAAAGTTCAAAGTTAGTAATTTTAATGTTTGCGCTTAAAAAGGGCCGCAAACAGTTTTTGATAATGTATACTTGAAAGATATTTTTAAGATAGTTTTAGTTTGTGACATATATTGTGATGCAACTAAACAGTTGAATCAATGACATTAAACAACGTGATAGGCAACTCTGACGTCACTCCATAAGACTACATGCGAAAGATTGTATTTCGTGATACGCTCCAATGCACATATTTCTCGTCGCCTTTCGCGACGGTTTTCCGCTTGCTTTTGCTACTCGGCGTCTTCTTTACGTGTAGTACCTGCCTTTTTGCGCCTGTAACGAAAGAAAATATTCTCTATATCTGAGAAGTTTTGCTCATTTGGAAAGCTGGAATGGCAGACAAGCTGTAAAGAGTAATTCTGAACATCATAGACGTTTTTTTTATCAGAGAATATTACAAACGCGATAGCGTAAAGATTTGTGTGAAACATTTTGCAGATAATGACAAAGTTCAAAGTTAATAATTTTAATGTTTGCGCTTAAACATTGAAATTTCATTTAAAGAGAGTGTCATACAAAACAGCAAAACTGTTTTTACTTCTCGTCTCTTTACTTTTACGTCTCGAGCAAGTCTTCTTGAAAGACTTGTGTGAATGGAAACTACCTATATGTTTTGCCTTCCTCCGACTTTAGAAGACAAATTTATTTTGAAGGATTTGGCATATAATTCTCATTGATTGTTGGCTGTTTATAATTCCTATTAAATGTGAATTCTGATTATAACAAAGAGTTAAACATTTTTTTACGTAATCTACGGGCACTTTTTTCTTGTCAATACTCCAAGCTGAGGTAAAAAGCAAGACAATACATTTATGTCATCTGGAAGCAAAATATACACACTAATTAAAAGTTTGACACATTGAGATAATACATCATGACAGAAAATACAAAGATACAGTATGTATGAACATCACATGGTAATTAAAATTAAAAAAAAATTAATAGAGGCTG